TCCGAGGGCAGGGCGCACTCTTCGACTTGGGCTATTATCTGCCCTCGGGAGGGCGGCGGGGGGCGGCGGCGTAGAGGGGCGGCGGCGAGCTCCCGCGGTTGCAAATACTCGCCTCACAGTCCAAGATGGCGGCTCGCGCCCCCAACCGTGCACCCCAGCATGCCTCTCTAGTCCCGCCTGCCACCCAGATACCGAGGGCAGGGCGAACTCTTCGACTTGGGCTATTATCTGCCCTCGGGAGGGCGGCGGCGGCGGTGTAGCGCGGCGGCGGCGAGCTCCCGCGGTTGCAAATACTCGCCTCACAGTCCAAGATGGCGGCTCACACGCCCAACCATGCTCTGGTGCGTCGATTGGGTCGCGTCTACTGCCCGTGTCTCTGTCTTATCGGCGCGACGACAACAACCTACCCCACACCCTAACCCTAACCCTAACCCTGACCCTACTAACCCTAACCCTAACCGGAAGAACTCGGGGAGCATGGTCACCGAGAGCTCGCGTCAACGGACCGCTGGTTCCTCCATTCCGACCCGAAGCGGCCCCTTCTTAGTGGAGCTGCACAACGGCTTGAACTCTCTGACCCTAACCCTAACCCTAACCCCAACCCTAACCCTAACCCTAACCCTAACCCTAACCCTAACCCTTGGCTGTGCTGTATAAGGCGCGCGAGGCTGGGTGCTTTGCTACCTTGCTTGTGTCTTCCGTGGCCGGGACGGTTGGTTGGGTGGTGGGGGTGGGTCGGTCGGTGTGGGTGGGTTTCCTCGCCTCATCAGCCGGGCCGTGAGGTGGGTGGGGCTGGGGGTGGGTGGGTGGTTCCAAGCCTCAGCCGGGCCGTGAGGTGGGTGGGTGGGTGGGTGGCTCAAGAAGCTCGTGCACGTGAACGGAGGTCCAGAGCGGCACGTGGTGTGAGAAAAAACGCAACGCGGCTGGGGCTATACCAAGACAGTTTGGCACGGGAAAACGGTAAACGCAGGAAGAATCCTGCTGGTTTAGGTGGGGACCCAGTCCTTCTCCCACCCCTCGTTTGGCGTATCCGATCCTTCTTTATTTTATCTCTTCACACCCCTCATTTGGCACGATAAAAATGCTAAATGGTATAGCGGGCGCCGCTAAAGCGAAGAAAAAGAAAACTGGAAAAGCGTAAACCGTCAAAACAAAGAGCGAGGCGTATAGACGGAACCGAGACAGACCTTAGACACTGATCACTGTGTCATATCACGCACCGCCCCCTCTGTTATTTCGCCGCTCTGAGCTCTTCTGTGTACTTGTGTGACTGTGTGCTGACTCGGTCGCGTCGCGGTGGTCCCGCGTCTCTCTGACTCTCGTGTCTGGAAGTCTCTCGTGCGGTCGGCCGTCCGACGTTTTGGAGTAACACTCCTGTAAAGTGTAATAATCAGCACGAAACTCTCCCACGCCACACCCACAGAACTGAGCTGCGCCTCTCTCGGTCTAGCGAGCGTCACGGAGCGGTGCGAGAGCCCCCTCATCTTGCGCGCCTACGGCCTCTCCGGCGCTGCCCTGGAGAGAGCCGTCCTCTACTCACAGCATTCCGCCACGCCACGCCTATCTCACCTAGAGACTCACTCTACTAGAGACGACTTGACACAGACCACGATCGCGCGAGTGCAGGCGTGTGTGCGGCCGGCGCGCAGCCGACATCACTTGCGCCAGATGCGGCGCGGCTGCCCCTGCCGCCCGTCGCAGCCGAGCGCCATCGCCTGCTTGAAGTCGTCGACGTGGATCCAGTAGTTTGCCGCCATCTTGACGCCCTGTAGGACGGGCATCGCCTCGTGGTGCGTCCGGTCGTCCTTCTTCCACGGGTTGTCCTCGAGGCCGTGCGGCCACCAGACCGCAGAGCCGCGCTTGGGCATGACGGTCAGGTTGAGGTACGGGAACTGGGTGCCTAGGTAGTCAAGAGTTCACAATTCATAATGAGTCGGGTTGAGGTATGGGGACCAGGTGCCTAGCCGGGCGAGGAGGGCGCGCTTGCTTGCGGGGGCGGGCGGCGCGGCGGGCGGCGAGGGTGTTGCCGCGCCTCCGCCCTCGTCGACGTCGGAGAGGTAGAGGAAGAAGGTGAAGACGCGAGGGCCGCAGAGCGCCTGCAGCTGCTCGGGGATCCAGTCGTGGTGGAGGCGGTAGTACTCGCCAGGGTGGTACCTTCGCCGGGGGGTGGTGCGTGCTTGCGCGCGCAGCGTGGGCGGCCCTTCTCTCCCGCCGCGTCGGCCGAGTCGACTACATCTCTGCGACGCCTCTGCGACGCCTCTGCAACGCCTCTGCAACGCCTCGGCTATCTCTCGGCTATCTCTCGGCTGTCTCTCGGCTATCTCTCGGCTAGCTCTCGGCTATCTCTCGGCTATCTCTCGGCTAGCTCTCGCTTGAGGAGCTGCATGTGCTCTGCGTTGTTCTGCGGCAGCCCGACAATGTCCATGATGCGCTCGATGACGCGCTCGTGCACCTGGAGGGGAGGGGAGGAGGGGAGGAGGGGAGGAGGGGTCCCCTCTCCCGCGGCGGTGCGCGCCTCTGCCTCGGCGAGGGGCTGTCGGTAGGACCGGGTGGTTGTAGCAGCCCGGGTGCTGGCACCAGGCGTTGTACGAGGTTCGGATCTGGTCGGGCACGTCCTGCAGCACGACGCGCCCGTCCTTGCCTCGCGTCGCCTTTGCGGTGGTGGACGGCTTGAGGTACTCGCCGCTCTTCCCGCCCACTGCCTCGACGATGCCGTCCGTCTCCTGGCGGGCGGGCGGACAGGCGAGGCGGTGCGGGGGAGGGAGGGGCGACGGGTTGGTGGGGAGGGGCTGGAGGGGGGCGGCGAGGGGAGGGTGCGCCTCGTCGGAGAGAAGGTTGTCGAAGGTGACCACCCACGGGTCCCGCGAGAGCACACGAGGAGAATACTGCGGGTACTCCGCCACCGCGCGCCTACGGAGCGAGCCTCCGCCGGTGGGGCAGCTGGCGGCAGGGAGCGGCGAGCTGGCGCGGGGACGCGCTCGAAGATCTTGGTGAGGTCTCCCTCCGCCACGTCGGGCCTGAGGCACACCCGCGCCGCCTCAGAGGAGGCAGGAGCGGACGCAGAAGGCGCCTCGCCTCTCGGAACACTCTGCGCACCGCTCAGTCGGGTTGTGCGTGCACGGGTCGTCGTAGTCCGGCGAGCAGGAGAGGCAGCAGGTGCGCAGCATGTACTCGGTGTTGCGGTAGCACTCGCCTGTCCGCGGGGGTGGCGCGGGCCTAACCCGCTCC